TAGCCAAAATTTTTTTCCCAGTCTGTAGGTTGTCTTTTGACTCTTTTGGTGAAGTCTTTTGATGAGCATAAGTGTTTGATTTTTAGGAGCTCCCAGTTGTCTAGTCTGTCTTCTGGTCTAGCACCATTTTGTTTAAAAAAGACTATGCAAACAGAAATACTACCTTTATTGTAGATACTGTTTTGTACCTTTGTTTTTTAAAATATTTCTTAGACATTTTTCTGTACCAGAAGAGTCAGAGCAACCACATTCTTTTTAACAGCTGCAGAATATGCTATCCTATGATGGACCATTACGTACTTAATAGCCCTTTTCTGAGGGGCTTTACTTCCTCAATGCTGTGGTGAACCCCTTGAATGCACATACTCCGGTGTGAAAGTTCCTGTAGTGTCATTTTTAGGGGTGTTGTGGCTCAGTAACTTTCCATCTGAGGCCTGCCAGATAAAACTTTTGCAATTGCTTATGTTCAGAACTGAAAAATCACGAAGGTTTTTAGCTAGGAGCCAGATTCAGTGTAGTTTTGATTTCCGTTTTTCATTTTCTGTATTTTTTTTTAGTTATTTTCTTAGTGGTTACATTGGGTATTACAGTTAACATCTTAAACTGATAACAACCTAGTTTGAATAATATCACCTTAGTTACAAAAGCATACATACATTCTGCCCCTATACATCTCCATTCTTCCCCCCTTTATTATTTGTTGTCACAAATTACATTTTCACACGTTGTTTCCTCATTAACAGATTTATAATTGTATACATTTGCCTTTTTAAAACATGTTAAAAAAAAAAAAAGGCGTTACAGACCAGAAGTACAATAATACTACTCTTTATATTTACCTATGTAGTTACCTTTACCAGTGTACTTTTTCTTTTTATGGTTTTGAGTTACTGTCTAATGTCTTCACTTCAGCCTGAAAGACCCTTTAGCATTTCTTGTAGGTCAAATCCATTGCTGTGAGCTCCCTCAGCTATTGTTTATCTAGGAATGTCTTAATTTCTCCTTCACTCATAAAGGACAGTTTTGTTGGATATAGAATTCTTGACAGTTCCCCCCCCCCCAGGACTTTAAATACATCATCCCACTGTCTTCCGGCCTCCATGGTTTCTGAACAGAAATCAGTGCTCAGCTTTTTGTGTGACAAGTTGTTTCTGTACTGCTGCTTACAAAATTCTCTTTTTGTCTTTGGGTTTCAACAATTTGACTATAATGTGTTTGGTGTGGATTTCTTTGAGTTTTACTGCTTAGAGTTAGTTAGATGTGTATATTCGTATCTTTCATCAGATTTGGTAAGTTTTTAGCCATTACTTCATAACTTTTATCTCTTTATTGATATTCTCGTTTTGCTCATGTATCATTTTTTTAATTTCCTCTAGTTCTTTGTCCATGGTTT